GATGCATTATGTAAAAGTACAATTCCCAGTGAGAAATGTAATTGTGTTGTATACCTACAATGTACCAATAAAAGAATTTAATACAAAAAAAAAAAAACTTAAAGCCTCTTAACTTTTTAAAACATGTGCCACTTCTTTGCAGAAACATATACTAATCAATATTCTTTAATGTTCTTCCATTAATTCTTTTCATACTCTACCCTGAGACTAAGTAATTATTTGAGAGGCTGCTGTACAGTTGTAAATATTCAAAAATAAGGTACAGTAATGAAGCAGTGCCAGGCGTGTAGTGGTGCATGCTTGTAGTCCTAGCACTCAGGAGGCAGAGGCAGGAGGATCACCATGAGCTCAAGGTCAGCATGGGCTACATAGTGAATTCAAGGCCAACCTGAATGACATAGTGAGACCCTGTCTCACAAATTAAAAAAAGAAAAATCAGGTGTGATGGCACGTACCTATAGTACCTGCGCTGTCAGGCCTGAGTCAGGGAGATCACAAATTAAAGCCCAGCCTGACTAATTTAGCAACTTAGACCTTATCTCAATTTTTTTTTTCAAAAAAAGGACTGGGCACCTCGCATGCCTCTCAAGTGCAAGGTCCTGAGTTCAATCCCCAGTACCAAAAAAAACAGGACTGGGGCTGTAGCTCAGTGCAAAGGCCATGGGTTTAATTTCTAGCACCAAATTGGCTGGTGGGGGGGAACAAACTTACTTCCTCAAGAATATATCTTAACATACATGAGCATGCTCAAAAACAACCACAGGGGCCAGAAATGTAACTCAGTGCCAGCACACCTGCCTTGGGAGTGCAGGGTCCTGAGTTTGATCCTCAGTACTGGAAAAAAAACAAAAACAACCACAGGTCTTGAACAGACATCCCTTCAAAGGAGATATACAAATGACCAGTAAACATGAAAATACACTCGGCATCACTAATCATTAGGAAAATGCAAATCAAAATCACAATAAGATTCCACCACACACCAAACAGAATGACTGCTATGAAAAATAATAATAACAAGTATTGACAAGGATGAAGAAAAAATTTTAGCCACACAGCTTCTGCAGATGTTTGATAAATTCTGTAACTTAACTGAGATACATTTAAACTATGATAGCTTCTAGTTTTGTCAGTATTCATTTGTCTGTATTATAGCTCTTCTATTTCTTTACTTGTCTGACTGTTGTGCAAAGGAAATATGCACAAACACATCACTTGTGCCATATTATGTAAAAGTAAAATGGGGTTTAATGAGCACTAACAGGCAGAGAAATATCAGAATGCCTGGATCCTTGTCCTCATTACCCTGTCATAAGACACACTTGAATCAGCTGTTAGCAGATCGCACCATGGAAAGTGCTCCAGTAGAAAAAGCCCATCTTGGTGCTATTTTATATTTTGTCTGTGCATTGGAATATCCCAAAGACATGAAAGTTGAGGAAGTAAACCTTTGTAGAAAGGAAGGATATGTAACTAAGCCTCACTTATTAAAGGGCTCTATTGATCCCAAGCTCCTAGGGCAGAGAAGCTCAGCTGATCCCAGAACCCAGAAGGAAGCTCCCCGCCTCCATCCCAGGCTCCTAGGGCAGAGAAGCTCAGCTGATCCCAGAA